GTTTAGATTTATCTTAATTCTTCTTTCGTAGTTGCGGATGCTTGCGAGAGGGGTTAATCATAAGTGGGAGGCTTGTTCAAGTAAGGACAACACCCAAGCACCGGTCGACCCACATATCAAATTATCAAAGTAACGAACGCGAATCATATGAGCATGATAAAAACTAACTTTATGATAATTCTCATGTGTCATCAGGAGCGTTTTTCTTTATATAAGAGTTCGTCCAGGCTTGTGCTTTGCTATAAAACGGATTGGGCCACTTTGCTTCACTTTTGTTACACTTGTTACTCGTTACCCGTTACGAATTACCTTACTACCAAACTATTTGTTACCAATAATTTCAGTGCTTGCAGAGAATACCTTGCTAAAAACTGCTTGTCATTTTCTTCTGCTCTTAGTTGGGTTCGACAGTCTTACCTATCGAAAGGACTATATTGATCCCCTATACTTGTGGGTCGTCAACTTCCTACTTGAGAGTAGTTATTTGAAGATTTTAGAGTAAATGAAAAAAAGAATGTACTATCACAATTGGAGAGTCAAACCACTTGTGTTGTTAAATGGTCTCACTATTTTAGCACGTCAATCTTTCATTTCACATTTGCATATGATAGCTTAGCCTGTAACAAAACTATTGGACTTCACTGGATCTTATTTTTTCATTAGCAAATTTGTATCATCTAGCCAATGCAATGTACCCCATAATGTTCAACCAAATATACTTATCCACTTATCCAACATGTGTACTCTGTTGTTGTTATAGTTTTTAAGCAACAACAACAATTGTACAAATCAAGAGAAATTGCACGGGCGCGGCGTGTGGCCGTGCCTTCGCCCGCTAGTTAATGTTAAGTGAGCTCCGATTTGAGAATGGTTGCCTTGCCTATCCATTAAATATTCAGAGTTGCTTGGTGACCTTTTTGCTATGATGGGCAATTCATTTGATCGAACATAGTTCAACCACAAGTGACCGCCACTTCTAATAAATCCCTAACCATGTATTTTTTTAGAAAAGAAAAATTCCTAAAAAATTTCCATCTTTTTTCCAAGAACAAAATCCCTAACTTTTGCCATGTGCCCATTACAAATTCCTAAAAGTTGTCATGTTCTTTAGAGAACCAATTTTTAAAATCTATCATGTGCAATTTCATTATATGGTGCATGGCAGTTATATAATTTTTAGATCATGGCAATTTTACTATTTAGACCATGTTGTTTTATTGTATGTAGAATGTCACTTTCATTATGTAGACCATGGTAGCTTTATTGATTAGATCATGGCAATTATATTATTTATACCATGGTGTTTTTATTGTAGACATCATGGCACTTTTCATTAATTGGACCATGTTTAGACTATGGTTTTCTATTATAGGTAGCATGACAATTTTCTTTTTAAGATCATGGTAGTTTTATATAGATACCATGACATTTTAATGGGAAATTTACTATTAGACCATGGTAGTTTTATGATAGGTAGAATGAAACTTTTATTATTTAGATCATGACAATTTTTATTGTTGCTTCATGGCATTTCTATTAATTAGAATTTGGTAGTTTTATTGAAGGTAGTGTGACAATTTTTTATATCTTTTTCAAAGATTTTTTTCTCATGTTAATTTTGTTACATGTGACAATTCCGATTGAAACTCCGTCACATGAAAATTCTAGATGTGACAAATCACATGACAAATTCAAAACATAGAAATTTCAGATTTTTTTTCAAATTATATGGCAAATAGTGAACCATGGCAATATGAACACTGTTTTTTTGGAATTTCAAAATTGTCATGTGATCTTTACATACATTTTCAAAATTTGTCATGTTTATAGTGAACCATTTTTCTTTCAACTTTTCCATGTGAATCATTTTTTACTTTTTTTTTTGCAAAATCCATGCCTTTGATTTTAACAGGAATTTGATTGTTTTTCCTTCATGTTTGCCTATCATTAGTACAAAAAAAATTCTAAATTTTTGCCAAGCGGCATTTTTATTTTTTAATTGTTAGTGCTCAAAGAGAATGATGATTGGGTCTAGAGGCCTGGAAAAAGGCCTGTCCTGCAAAACGTTCGCTGGGGAGATGTTTTCTGCAGCGAACCAAAACGTTCGCTGAGGGTTTGCTACGTGTAGCAAACCAAAATGTTCGCTGAGGGTTTTGCTTTTGCCAGCGATCGAATTGGTTCACATTGTCCTTCCCTGTGGGGAGCAACAACCAGATATTCAAGTCCTTCAAAAAAGGATGAAACACTTCGGAATTAATGACTTGCCCAGTGGACAAAGCATAAGTGTTTTCCTGTTTGCCTATTAAGTTAAAATCACCGACAACTAACCACGGTCCCACGTGGAGATGACAACCATCTCTCATGGTCCCTCCGGTCATTTTTAGTCTGTATATAAGTTTTGTCCAAAATCAAGGCATTTCTACTTTGACCAAACTTATAGAAAACATTATTAGATTCATTACAAAATGTAGTTTCATAGTATATATATATATATTTAATGTCGTAGATGTTGATACTTTTTAATATATATTTGGTCAAATTTTACAAAATTTATCTTAACATAAATCTAATACGTGGAGTAAAAAGGACCGGAGGAAGTATCTTTTGCAGAAAAATGATCTTATCCTTATCAACTTGGGGCGGTGATCCGCGGTCAAGGCCCATCCTCTTGCACTCGCAGTTGCTCAAGTTGGTGCGTCGTGAGGCGGACCGGTTACACGCACGTAGTAGCCCCCATCTCTGAACCCCCCGACCCCCGCGTCGTCCCCAGGGCGGCTCGGGGAACCCTAGGAACGCCGCCGCCGCCCTCCCCTCTACATCACGCCCCCCTCCCGCCGCCGCCGGATGAGTCCGCCGGGAGAAGCCCGCGCCGGAGGACGATGGCGGCGGGGATCTCCGCGCGCTCGGCGGCCTAGGTCGACGGCGTGAGCCCGTGGTTGTGGAAGTCTCGTCCTCGGCGTCTCCGGCCGGCGTGGCGGCTGCTCGGTGCGGTGTCCTCGTCCTCTCGCGGGTGATGGGCTGCCGGCTGCTCGTGGCTGCCTCGATGCGACGGTGTCCCGAGGTTTCAGATCTGGCCATGGCGGGCTCGGCCGATCTGGCCCGTTGGCTTCGGCCGGCGGTGAGGTTGGTGGTCGTGCGTGGTGATGGCGCCGCCGCCGCGCAAGAAGTGATTGGACTGGTGGGTTCGCATGCTAGCGGCGCTTGGTTCCCCCATCCTCGTCCGGCAGCGTGAGGGTGCGGAGGTAGGGTTGCTCCGGGCGAAAGCCGACGGCGCGGTGTTTGCGGATGTCGCTCTCCTCCTAGGGGCCGTTGTGGAGTTCTCTGACCTCCTCCACTCTCGGGTCACTTTCTTCGGGTGAAAGCCCAGGACCTGCGGTGCAGGACTAGACGATGGCATGACATCGCTTCCCCTCCTGAGGGCGTCGTCTTGAAGATCGTGATTCCCTGCGTGCTTTCCCAGAGCTGGACTTGCACGACATCGCGGCAGGTGGTCGGCGATGCGCCCAGAGGTGGAGCGGTGTTTCCTCCTCCGCATCGAAGACGGCGGATCTCGGCGGCGTGGCGCAGCGGAGACTCGGCGCCCGATGCGTGTAAATGGACTCGCGCAGGAGGAGGTGGCTGTCTGGCGTCATGGTGGCGTCGATGGCAGAGTGGCCTAACAAGGTAGAAGCCTCAATATCTGCTCTGAAGACGGACCTGTGGAAGATGACGGCGACGACACATGTGAGTGCGTCAGACCGGTTTGTGCCGCGGACCCGGTATGTGGCTTGGCTGGGGCTTCCGGCTTTTGATGATAGGTTTAGGTGAGTGGTCTGAGTATTTGGCCCAGCTAGCTTCCCTTCATCATATGGATAGGAGTAGTGGCATATGTTGCTAAGATGACGGATTCAGGCATATTGTTGTAATACTTTATAAGGTCAACGAGAATAATCAATAAAATGGCCGCATGCATCTCCCAGATGCAGAGGCCGGGGGTCATCCTCCTTTTCTAAAAAAAAACGCACGCAGTAGCCCAAGTTGCTTGTTCTGGTGGTCCCTGCAAATCCCCAATGTCACAACGTATCAATCAAATTAGATAAGAGGGAAACATAGTCTTTAACCTGGTAAATGTAGGGCACCACTTCAAATCTCTCTCGAAAGTGCAAAAGAGCCAGATCATATTAGGAACCTGTTGACCGTGGAAGTACAAAGTGCAATGTGCCCTGTGTGTGAAGTATGTCACGAGTGACATAATCGTGACTTGTGATGACGGATGTGGTTGCTGCACCAGAAATGACGAAGCAAAAAACTACTGTATGATACATTAGCAGGTAAGAACAACATTCAAAAGAAAAATATGTTCGGAATTAAGAAAGAAGCACTTGCGAGCAAACCCGGTCCTAGTCAGCCAACAAACCCTTCGAGAAGTTCTCGTGCTGTTGCCGCGGTCATGCCCATGCTGAGGACCGGCGTCTGGACAACGGCTGCGATATTGCAAACACGCAAAGCCGCAGAAATCTTTATGGAAAGAGAGAGGAACCAAACCCGGCCTATGCTCCTTCTCCCTGTGACCTGTAGCCGCTTAATTTGAACTGTCCCTTGTCAACTAGCCGGGGTAGCTAGCTAGCTCGATGTTGACATCGCCAACGTACATCCTTGCCGTATTGTGATGGTCCACGGCACGTAGCGCAGACCGCGTCCATGTGAAGGTGGAACGGTAGCGAGGCCTGAAAAGGTCAGCCGGCCACCAACCAAGCCCGGGCCGCGCGCGTCTGACCACGTACTGGTCGCTGGTTCAAATGCACATGACAATTCACCAGCAAATCTCAATATCCAAATGCCATCCCACGAACCTACCGCGCGCCCCCCCAACCGGCCTCGCTAGGCGCTTGCTTCTATATAAAGGGCATGGCAGCAGACACAACAGCAACCCAAACCCCCGCTAAGCATCAGCAGCAGTGCAGCACCTCCCTTCTACCTCCTCTGCTCTGCATTCCTCCTTCCAGCTCCAGCCGCAATCAATGGCCGCCATGAAGATCACCCTCCTCGCCGTGGCCGCGATGGCCGTCTTACTAGGCAGCGCGTCAGCGGTAACCTACAACGTCGGCGATCAGGGCGGTTGGGCCCTCAGCACCGACTACAGCAACTGGGTGTCCGGCAAGAAGTTCAACGTGGGTGATGACATCGTCTTCAAGTACTCGACCCCGACGCACGACGTGGTCGAGGTCAGCAAGGCCGGCTACGACTCCTGCAGCACCGACGGCGCCATCAACACCTTAACCTCCGGCAACGACGTCATCTCCCTCAACGCCACCGGCACCCGCTACTTCATCTGTGGCGTCCCTAACCATTGCAGCCCCGCCGCCGCCGCCAGCATGAAGGTCGTGATCGACGTCGCCTCGGGCTCCTCCTCGCCGTCGTCACCCATGCCAGCTGCAGGTCCTGGCGCGAGCAACTCTCCCCCGGCGCCGCCCTCCAACGCCGCTACCTCCGTCGGTGCCACAGCAGGATTTGGCCTCGTCGCCCTCCTGGCGGCCGGTCTCATGGCTTGAACGCATATATTGATCAGCTGCCGCGCGCACATACGACTTTATCTTTTGTTATTAACTACTATACTGTAGTTATTATCACGGGTGAATACATGTATTCTTTTTTAGAGCGAGAATGTGATAGTTACTTGTATCTATCACGTCTATATGTAATCTGCAGGCCTTCATGTCTTTTTATATAATGATTCTAGACTATTATTTTATAAGGGTGCGTCAGTGC